TATAAGTGCAGTCCGTTATTATTAATGCATTATTGGCTTGAACTCACAAAATATCACAAACTGATTGTTTTCCGTCTTGTCTCTTTCTCGTCACGTCTCCTTCAAATGTTTCCATCTGTAGTCCCCTCTCGACACAGACTTCCTCTAACTTTCTCCAATAAGAAGTGAAATCTCATTTTAAAAAGTAAAAAAAAAAAAATCCCTTTTTTGATATTTTAAATTAGATTAATTTTGTCTTTGAGATAAAAAAAAACGGAACCTGCTGCATGACTTACTTTTCATTTTAACAGCTAAACATTTTTTCTTTATTTCTTTAATTATTTTTACACAAAATGCTGCTCGTCTTTATCTTTAAGTCCTGATTTACACGTTGAGCTTCACATAGACAGATAATTATCTTTTTTTATACAAATGTGATGTTTAAATTCAGAAGTTGCTGTGAGTCCAATCATTCTTCTAATTTAAAAGAAATATCCTCAACGCAAAACAATCAATAATTCATTTACAGCGTGTTATTATAAATCATAAAGACATTATTTTATTTTTACAAACACACTTTTTTCTCAGTGCTGCCTGAAAAGTTTTATTTAATTTAATCAGCTCCAGAGTTTCCTTCTAAAATTCATTAAATTAGTTTAGATGCTGTTTAAAAACTTCTGATTTTTATGATAATTAAACAAAGAACATGTTTTATTTGGGGATGAAATTATGTCGTGCGGGCGGCTCGTTAAAACTGATCGACTGGATAATCTATAAAATAATTCCTGTCAAATTGAGTTCATCTATTTATTTTGGTCACATGAAAACTGTTGTTCTGTTTTAAAGTAATGACTAGTTTTTTATGTGAATGAGCTGCTGCAACAAAAAATCTAATCTTTCTTTCTCGTTGATTTCAACACTTTATTTTACAAAAAATGTGATAATTAGACCAAAAAACCAAATGTTATGAGGTGTTCAAAGCTTTTTTCTGTAACAAATAACTCAAAAGAACCGGTTTTAAAATGCTGACAGTGTAAATGTATCTGTGCGGCCTCCTGAGCCTCAGATTGTTTGAAGAAATGTAGATTTTAGCCGTGGGGACAAACTGAAATGGATTATTTGCTTTTCGTTCCTCTCTCTCGTCCAGTTGATCCTGTTTCTTTTTCCTCGTAATCCTCTTTGTTTCCGTTGCCCGTTAGCTGCCTGCTCGTTCCCTTCAAGCTTCATTTAAGCTCATTTCGCTGTTTTAAAGCGCGTCTTTCTGCTCCGTGCATTTAGGTCATCGTCTCCACTTTACTGACAAAACTAACGACAAACAGGAGATTACCGTGAAGGGACTTTATGATCAGTTTGTTTTGATGATTCATTATAAACGGTCTTTTAGTCCCTGAATGGGCCCAGATGATACATTTACATACATACAGATACATACAGATACATTTACCTTTTAATTAAAATTTTGATATATTTAGCTTCCAGCTAGCCTTTTGCTGCTTTTAGTTTTTATGTCCACTTTTAGCATTTGGATAGCCTTTTGCTACATTTAACTTTTAAATAAACTTTTGATGTTTTTAGCTTCCAGCTAGTCTTTTGTAACTTTTACATTTTAACAAGCTTTTTGCTACTTTTAGTTTATAGCTAGACTTTTTAGCTTTTTGCATCTCTTAGCTTGAATAGCTTAGTTTCAGCATCTGTCAGCTAAAGTGAGCGGTCCTTCAGTTATTGTTTGTCATTGATGTTTTTATTTATTGATGCACACAAAATGTGTTTTATTCAGAGTAAATGCTAATGTAGCACCTTTCTAACTTATCAAGACGCTCGAAGCTCTTTACAACAATCTGTGCCTCATTTACCCATTCATGCCGCTCTATACTAGATCTGTTCAGAGAATAATCAGAAGGACGCACATCGGAGGCAATGAGGGCTTCAGTGTCTTGCCCAGGGACACTTCAGCACGTGACTGTTGGTGGAGTCGAACCCCCAACTCTACCATTGAAGGGTGGCTGCTCTAACCACTCATCCACAGCCGCCCAGTACCAGAAGTGTTTTTTAATTTAAGTGTTGACCGGGTCTGTGTTTGTCTGCTGGAGTTGTACACAAGCAGATGTTTGTAAAACGTTACTTTAAGGATTAAGAAGCTGTAAAATCTCCTTATTTGGCAGAGTCTTGATGTCAGAAGTCATGATGATATAATCTGCTGACCCACAAGATCAGGTAAAATTTGATGGATAGATTAAGTCAGTCAGGGCAGACTCGATCACTCGTTTGTCTTTTCTCTTGGAAAATCTACATAAAACTTTTGTTTGTAAAAATGTAAAGCTCATTTATTTTACTAAAATGGAGACAATATAAACTTTGATCTGCACCTGGTGACATGAATTAACGAGCAGTAAGGAACTCTCTTCATAGTTCTTGTGAAACGAGGAACGACAGAACTGAATTACAGAGATAAATACCTGAACAGGTGGAGTTGAGAAGTGGCTCATCTTAGCTGAAGTCTGAAGTCGTTCAGGTCAAACACCTGAAGTCGATCAGATCAAACACCTGAAGTCGTTCAGGTCAAACACCTGAAGTCGATCAGGTCAAACGCCTGAAGTCGATCAGATCAAACACCTGAAGTCGTTCAGGTCAAACGCCTGAAGTCGTTCAGGTCAAACACCTGAAGTCGATCAGGTCAAACGCCTGAAGTCGATCAGATCAAACACCTGAAGTCGATCAGGTCAAACGCCTGAAGTCGATCAGATCAAACACCTGAAGTCGTTCAGGTCAAAC